TGAGTGTTGAACTTGCCTCCCCTTGAGGGACCCCTCGCTGCAAGGGGCCAGAGGCTCCCGTCTGGGGCCAGCAGATACCACACAGATTTGACTGGTGAAGTGAAGTAAACCTTCAAGGGAGCAGGCCGAACTCCCCACAGGCGCTCAACATGTGAGGGCTCTCCTGGAAGCTGTCTGGAGAGGATAGGGAGAAAATAATAGGTTGCTTCAAAGGTGCAGCCCAGGTCGGGAAGGAGTGGGGGCGGGGGCGGGGTGGGGTCAAGCATGGAGATCCACCTGGATCTAGATGTGTTGCAACAAGGCCGAAAATGGCATTCCTGATCCGAGAAGGAAGGGCAAGACACTGGAGGCCAGTGCCGGAGAGGGAACCCTGGGAAGGGCCTGAAGAGCCCAGGGAGGGTGTAGCAAGGGCTGTGGGCAGAACAATTTGAGCCCATCTGAGACAGACACAACTTGAGAACTGGAACCTTCTGGAATATATGGATCTAGAGCTGCCAGTCCCCTCTGGTTTGTCGAGAGGAGCCAACAATCTGGATTCTTTTTTTTTTTTTTAATGTAAAATCTACTGACTTTTCAAAGTTGGCAACCAACTGAGATTCTTTTGAAACGCAGTACTTAGCCAAACAAAACAGGTCTGTGGGGCAGCTTCTGCCTAGTTCTGGTAGAGATGCTGGGGGGGGGGGGAGCCAAGGCTGGGCATTCTTGTGACTAACACAGGGGGTGAGTGAGGTGTTGGGAGCTCATTTCCTGGCTGAGGGACCCTGGCTTTGCTGAGGCTAGGAGGAAGGAGCCGAAGGGCAGCTGGGTCATTTCAGACTCAGGGATGAGTCTCTAGCATGCGTGTGGGGGGCAGAAAAAGGGAAATTCAGAGTTCCAGGTCTGCCTGGGGCCTGGCTAAGGTGCAGGAGAAGACAGGAAGGGAGGACAGGAACCCTGGGTGCGCCAAGGGCGGGTAAGCAGGGTCGGGCCTGAGCTCCTCCTCCTTGTCCTCTCTGCCCCAGGGTCTTTCCACTGATTAGTGTCTTCTGAAAGTCCCCTTATCCTTGCTTCCAACAATCTCGAGGTTTCCCGTCCACTCAGACTGACTCTCCATGTCCTCAGGACCCAATTCTAACACCCATGAGAGCAAATCTGATGGACTGAGCTCGGCTAGGTAGCCACCAATGCCCAATCAGCATACCCAGGATGCCACAGTACAGTAGGGTGTGGCCCCTTCTGCGTCTCCCTCCAGGCCCATCCTTTCTGCCTCAAGGGAGGTCATGCTTGCCCTGGGGCAGGATTGCGGGGTTGTTTGTCTCTTTGCCTGCTTTCTTGGCCCCGGCACCACGTTGGACCCCCAGACGTGCGGAAGCCCTGGTCTCATGAGACTTTGGGGCAAAGGACCATAGATCATAGCACCGGAAGTAGTGGGGGAAAGAGCACACTCTGGACATACATCCTCAGGCTGTGGCCACCGCAGGCCATCGGACTCACGCAGCTTGTCCTGGAACAGGTGTAGCAGAACCCAAAGGGCGCTAAGAAAGGTGCGCGGTTTCAGGTGGCAGAGGAGTGACCCCGAGTGCTCTGGGTAAGGAGTCAGATAAACAGGACATGGAGGTGCACACCGGCAGTCTCAGCGCCTGGGATGAGATGGCAGGGTAATCAGAAATACAAGGTTGCTGGGCGGTGGTGGCGCATGCCTCTAATCCCAGCACTCGGGAGGCAGAGGCAGGCGGATCTCTGTGAGTTCGAGACCAGCCTGGTCTACAAGAGCGAGTTCCAGGACAGCCTCCAGAACCACAGAGAAACCCTGTCTCGAAAAACCAAAAATATTTAAAGAAAAATTAAAAAAAGAAAGAAGAAGAAATTCAAGGTCATCTTCAGTCATTTCATACAGCTGGGCTATGAAACCTCGGGGAGAGGGGGGTGGGTGAGGAGAATGAACTCCGAGTTCTTGGGGCCAAAGGGTGCTGGAAGGCAAGGCTGCTAGGGCCAGTAGCACTGGTGACCCAGGTAGCCTCGCCAGGGTCCTTAAGGATCAGCCCCACCTGTGTGCCAGGACGGGCAGCCTGGCCTGCTGGACATCCTGAGAAGGCCCGTGCTGTGGCCGGGAGCGGCTGGACCAGAGAATGTGAGTCAGGAGGCCCCAAGTGCGGGAACCGTCTCCGTGTCTCACCTGAGGACGGCTGCCCCACTCGGAAGGCTGAGGGACACTGCAAGAGCTCTCCTCTCAGCCCAGACCTCAGGACGCTGGCCGTGCTTAGCTCAGATGTTCTGTTCCAAGGCCTTTGCACATTGGGGTTTTGTTGTTTACCCTAAGGGTTATCAGGGTCATCACTGAGTCCCTTACTCCCAGCCCAGGGCTTGACCCATATTTGCCGAATGAACGGACCTTTCAGGAAACTCCAGACCCTTCTACTCAGCTAACAGAGACTGACTGGGTTCTCAGAGACAGTATCCCTGTCAAGCATCCTGCTCTCGCACACCTAGCTCTTGGCAGCACCGAGCCTGCAGGCACTATGGACAAGGAGGTTCTAGAGGCTGACACAGCAACACCTCGTCCTCAGTGGAATCTGGGGCTATTTTTTTTCCCAAAGGTTTTTTTTAATGTTTTATTTATTGTGTATACAGCTTTCTGCCTGCAGGCCAGCATAGGGTACCAGATCTCATTCAAGGTGGTTGTGAGCCACTATGTGGTTGCTGGGAATTGAACTCAGGACCTCTGGAAAAACAGTCAATGCTCTTAACCACTGAGCCATCTCTCCAGCCCCATCTGGGGATATTTTGTTCAATATATATATATATATATATATATATATATATATATTTTTTTTTTTGAGTTTTTGAGATAGGGTTTCTGTGTGACTTTGGAGACTGTCCTGGAACTAGCTCTTGTAGACCAGGCTGGTCATCTCAAGCTTACAGAGATCCACCTGCCTCTACCTCCCGAGTGCTGGGATTAAAGAGGTGGGTCACCACCGACCGGCTAAAAAAATATTTTTTATTTTATGTGTGTCTTGTCTGCATGGATATATACACACCGTGTCTATGCCTGGCGCTCTAATAGGCCAAAAGAGGCAGACACACCCCTGGAACTGGAGTTCTACATGGTTGTGAGCCCTGCCATGTGGTTGTGAGCCCTGACTGAACCTGGGTCCTCTGGAAGAGCAGCCAGTGCTCTTAATCACTGAGTCTGAGTCATCTCTCCAGGCCCCAAATATTTTAGTGTGTGTGTAGCATGAGCTCACAGATATGCCAAAACATGCATGCAGAGAGGCCAAAGAACAGTTGAATTTCTCCTTACACCTCGGGTTTGGGGTTGGGATGTCAGACTTGCAGGAAAAGCCTTTATCCTGAGCCATCTTATGGGCCTCTTACACAAGGATTTAAAGCACTGTCTCTGTGGGGCACAGGCTGTTAATGCCAGCACTCCCGAGGTAGAGGCAGGTGGATCTCTGAGAGTTCGAGGTTAGCCAGCACTACAGTGAGTCCCTGACTCAAAAACAACAAAACAAACCAATTGATACCACCTATTGATAATTCTGCTTCCATAAATGATCAGGGGGAAACTTCCCAAAGCGTCATTAGCCAGGGCAGTAGAGACCCTGAGGAAACCCAGCTCGTGGGGCCTGCCGGGCTGGGGGGGGTAAGGAGGGGGGGGGGGGTCTCTGGGCGCTGGGCTGCCTGGCCTGGACGCTGGTAATTTTGCAAAAGTTGAAGTTTAGTGCGGTGGCTAAACTGGGAATAGTAAAGCCACAGCAGAAGTCGCTCAAGGAGGCCACCCGCCCCTGGCCCGCCACCTCCAGGGCGTCCTTAAACCCTGGAACCGCGCGGGTGGCAACCGTTCCGAATGAGTGGGGGCGCGGCCTGGAGCAAAGGGGGTACGCGTGTGTCGCCGACCCGCGTGTCTGGGTGCAGGAGGCGCCCTCTCCTTGGAGGCACTTCCGGCCAGAGCAGCCGCCGCCGCCACTGCCGTGCGGCCCGCAGTGCAGGAGGCCGCGAGGAATCGGGGCTCACCACGCGCGCGAGGCCGTCTCCGGAGGGTTCCGAGGGGCGGGGCGCACGGCCGGGTGGGACCCCCACCTGGACAAACCCCGTCTCCCGGGCAGGCGCCGTCGGGGGCCGCCGGCTCCCCGCCCCCCGCGGGCCGCCCCGCGCTCCTCCCACCGCCCACCTGCCCCGCCCCGCCTCGCGCGCCAGGCGGCCGCGGCGCTCGCTCGGTTCGCCGCTCCCGCGCTCGGCGGCTCCCGGCTCCCGCGCTCGGCTCCTGGCGGCTCGGCGCCATGGGTGAGTGCGACCCCGCGGACGTCTGCTCCCGCCCTGCAGGCCGGGTGGCCGCCCGGGTGGTTCGGAGGGCTCCGCGCGGGGTGGGGGCCGGGCCTGCCCCGGGGAGGGCCTTGCTTGTTGGAGCCGGGTGGACGCCGGCCTCTGCACCCGAGGCTGGCTGCAGCTGCCCTCCCTGGTCTCGCCCCTGCCCCCTCGCTGCGGCGGCGCCCAAGCCTCCGGGAAGAAAAGGCATCAGCCTGGAGGGGGCCAAACTCACGGTCAGAGATGGACCGCAGGGAACAGAGGTCGCCCCGGGCCTCGGGGAAGGGAATGTTTAGCTTCAAAGGGTCTGAGTTGGAGAACAGGGCTAGGAAGGGCATCCTGGAACCTTGGAGTCCCCCTCCTCCCTCCCAGCGGCCCTGCCTCGGATTGCTTAGAAAGTCCGGGGCTCCGGGAGGTCACTGAGCTACCCCCTCCCACCAGTGGGACTGGGGGGGGGAGTAGTTGATTCCCAAAGACTCCCCCCTGGAATCTGGACAATTTCCCCGGGGAACTGCACAGAAAAGGGCTCTGCAAACAGATCCCCCTGCAGATAAGTTGGCATTTAAAAGAGAAAAGGACACTGACTTCCTTTGAAGGCAGGATTGAACAGTCCCCTGGCCTGGAGGCCACTAGGGCCCAGGGGAGTGTGTGTGTGTGCGCGCCTCCCCCCATCCCCCAGCCCCCATGAACTGATGCCCTCTGCTTCTCCACAGAAGACCAGAGCCCAGCAGAGGAGAAGGGGCTTTGCTGCCAGAACCCAGCCTGCATGGACAAGGGCCGAGCTGCCAAGGTAGGGGACTGACAGCTTGCGGGCATAGAGGACAGGTTCTCCCTGCTCAGGACATCCGTGGAGGCCTTGCCAGGGCGTAGCGGTGCCCTCTGGATTCAGGGTGGTTGGTTTAGGAGAGGGTGTTCATGGCTCAGGAACACTGGAGTGGGGGGGGGCTCTGTCAAAACAAGGGACCTGGGGTCCTTGCCGCCGCCTGAGGAGTTGGGAGCCACAGCTCCATGTCACGGATGAGGAAGCAGAGGCTGAGGAAGGGAAGTAAGTGGTCCCCGTGGTTTGGTTGGTCACCCGGCCACTCTTCAGACCTGGGCGTAGCTCTGGGATACTGTGGGTCTTGAACACAGCCGTGGCTGTGGAGATGACTATGGGAGGGGGAAAGGAGGGGGCGCCTGGCCTTAGATTTGGAGGAACCGGGAGACACTGAAGAGAAGGGAGCCAGGGAGCGAGGTAACAGCAAGAATATCCCTGGTACCTCTCCCTGTGACGCACTGGGCTCCCTGCCACGCGTTTTCTGTGCCTAACCCACGAGTGAGGTAGCTCCGCAGGGGAGGGTATTGTCACCGTCACCAGGCTTTTCCAGATGAAGGTACCGAGGTTCAGGGAGGTCGTGTGACTTGGACAAGGCCCGAGGTTCCTAAGAGCCGGATCCCTCCCCAGACACTCATTTGTGTTCCGGTCGAGCCATCCAGCCTCCCTTCTGGGGTAGGTGGGGAAACTGAGGCCCGGAGAGGCGACCTGTGGACACGTGGCCCGGCAAGTAGTAGACGGGGGATCCGAACCCCAGATTCAGGTGTGCAGAGCAGGAACCCACGTCCTTAACTGCCGTGCAGCTCGGCCCTGCCAGCTGTGGGAGATTTAAAATGTGCTCCCCGCCCCCCATTCACCCAGCACAGGAGGCCCATGGTCAGAAGGAATATGAGGACTGTTCCGGGGGTGGGAAGAGGGGGGCGGCCCCCAGTTGCCGTGGTCACCAGGCAAGGGGGCGGCAGTGATGTCAGATGCAATCTGCTGGCACGGGTGGTGCCTGGCATTGGGCTCTGGTGTTGGCTGGCTGCCTCTCCCCCAGATTGGCAAAGCAAGCTGGCCTCTGCTCCCTCAGCACATCTGCTGGGATCCTGAAGCATCTGTCTGACCGGAAGGGGTGACAAGGGGACAAGACACACTGTCCCACCCGTCCCAGGGCCCCACGTGGCATGAGAAGGCTGGTCTCAGCAGCTGGTCCTCCGTAGCCTTCAGCTCTGCCCTGGTCTGCTGGGGACTGGGCTCCTCTGTAGCCGTGGGATCCTCTCTGGCAAGCGGGAGGTGCCCTGAGGGAGGTGGGGATGTGGGTGGTAACAGCAAGGAAAAAGCGGGAGTGGCCCAGGGAAGGGGTGAGCTAGCAAGAATTGGGAGGCACAGAGGAGAGGGACAGCGGGTTTTGTGAAGAGTGATTGGCAAAGGTGGTTGCTGGTGGCGTGACTTACTGCTGTGGTGATGTGTGCCAGGTGTCCTGGGGAAACTCAGAGAGGCAGAGGAACCTGTCTACCTAACCACACCTACCTGGGCCAGGCGTTGGTGGCGCACGCCTCTAATCCCAGCACTCGGGAGGCAGAGGCAGGTGAATCTCTGTGAGTTCGAGGCCAGCCTGGTCTACAGAGCGAGTTCTAGGACAGCCTCCAAAACAATACAGAGAAACCCTGTCTCGAAAAACAAAAAAAACAACACGTACCTGGTGGAGCTTGCCCCGGGGTGAGACAGAAGACAGGGTCTCTTCTTAGTCTCCAGCCACACCAGGAGCCAACAGCAGGAAAGACAATCCCCAGACGGGGCTGCGCCCGATTCTGCCGGGGGCTTGGGTGCGAGGACTTCTGAGATTTGCCTCACCCCTGCCTTCTGTAATTCACTAGGGTTGGAGTGACCATGACGAACTTTCTGGAGCAATAGGAGGTGTGGAGACGGAGAGCGGAGTGAGCAGGGGAGGATGCTGGGGGTTGTGAGGCAGTGGGGGACAGACCCTGAAGAGCAGGCAGGTGTATCGCTGTGCATGTCCTGTGTGTCAGGGCTGTATGCCACGGAGACCCCTAAAAGCCGTGGCGCCCCTTCTCCCTGTCCGGGATGAGGACGTGCGGCTCACACGGTTGGGTTCCAGTGTTTCTTTGCGGTTGTCTGGCTCTGTACCTCTCTCAGTTGCGCTGAGGATTAAGAGAAGCCTCTGTGTAGAGCGCTCAGCACGGTGCCCGGCATGCCGTGGTGTTTGGGAATGCGAGATGTGATTGTGGACTTCATCTGTGTGGGGACTAATCAGGCCTCTCTCCTGGCTCCGGGTGTGCCCTCTGTCTCTCCCTGAGGAGAGTGAGACTGCCCAACAAATGCACGTTGCACACTGGGAGAGAAGGGCGGGGAGTGACTAAGGCAGGTGAGTGTCCTTAGCCCTTCCACAGAGTGTCCCTAGGACAATGACTGACCCCCTGCTCCCTGCTGGGCCTCCTTATGGCAAACGTTCTGGTCAAAGTCTGCTCCACACCTTTGGTTGTAAGGGGACATGTCAGAGGGTTGGTACTGGACCACTGGAGGATTTGGGAACACTGACCTCAAACAGGAGACCATCCTAGCAGATATGTTTGATCAGAATACCATGCTAGTCCCAGTACGTGTCTCATGCCAGCAGCCCACTCTGGATGGCAGAGACAACTCCGTTTCGATGCAGTGACCAACATGATTTGCCCATGACTTGTCAAAGCAGGGCCTGAGCCTCGGTCAGAACTTCCTGTTCTCAGGATCCCGTTCCCAAGCATCTCTAGAGAGAGGTGATGCCCTCTGCTTTGCTCTCAAGGGCCTAGTTAAGGAGGCAAGATTTAATTCCATAGAGACGTTTTCAACATTAGGAGCTGTTCCTCCACCGTCCAGTCCATGAGCCCCCATCCTTGAGCGTACTCAAGCATATGGAGTTCTGTAGAAATGATGGAGGGGGTGTACAGATATGGTAACCCCAGAGTCCTCTCAGTGTTGTGGAATCAGGAGAGGAGGAATCCGGGGTCGTGTCCAGATGGAGGCCATTGTACCCAGGGCCAAGGGACCCCTGCACCCCCTGATGTCCCTGAGCCGGGGTAGGTAGGATGCCTTGAGCAAGGTGACAGAGCTGGCCTGTTTTCTGGACAGTGCTTTAGGGGTAAGAGGCAGGACACCAGGTACCCTTGGGAATGGCCTGGTTTGGGGGTCTTTGGAGGTGATGGTCCCTTTAGAGGCTGGTCAGCTATGAGCAGGTGGTAGCCCCGCCCACTGCTGAAGAGCAGGACCAGAGAAGCAGCGAGTGCTGGCCTAGGCTATGGCTAAATAATCCGGGGGGGGGGGCAATTGAAAACTTAGGACCTCCAGCTCAGCAAGTAAGACCAGAGGAGGGGAGCTGCCTGGGGAGGCCCAGCTCCACAGAGCCAATGCCGAGAGTCAGAGCCCCAGCTCTACCCTTCTGGGATAAGGGAGGGAAGGTCGGGTTGTTTGACCCCGAAGTTCTGAGTGTGATTACAGGCTGCTGAGAGAGAGAGAGGAGAGTTACAGGCCACCCAAGGGTGACAGGCATGGGCCCATGGAAAAGGGACCCAGCCAGGCATGACAGTACATGGCTGTAATTATAGCACTCGAGAGGCTGAGGCAGGAGGATTATTGTGGGTTTGAGGCTGGCCTAGGATGGATACATAAGCAAGAGATGGCTCATTGGTTCTGAGCACTGGCTGCTCTGTCAGAGGAGCACTCTGGAGGCAGAGTCGGGCGAATCTCTATCAGTTGGAGCCCAGCCTGGTCTACACAGTGAGTTCCGGGGCAGGCTCCAAAGCCGCAGAGAAACCCTGTCTTGAAAAAAACCTAAAGCACACTAAGGAGAACTCTGAGTTCCAAGCTAGCCTCGTCTACATAGAGAATTCCAGGCTGGCAAGGGTTATATAACGAAGCCCTCTCAGAAAGGGGGGAGCTGACTGGAGAGGTGGCCCCGTGGTTAAGAGCCCTGGCTTCTCTTGCTGACTTCTCGTGCAGAGGACCTGGGTTCAGTTCCCAGCGCCCATGTGGCAGCTCACAGCTGTCTGTAACTCCTGTTCCAAGGGATCTGTCGCCCTCTTCTGGCCTCTGTGGGCACCGGAGCATACCTGTGGTGCATGTACATACATGCAGGCAAAATACTCATAGACATCAGATAAAAAGAAGTACATCTTTATCTTTTTTTAAAAAGGGACCCAGTGAAAGGCAGAGGCCGTTTCTGGGACACCCTGTTCGGAAGAGCAGAAGTCAGCCTGGTTTGGGGCAGCTTCTCCACAGACTCAGGCAGCGGGTGCTTCAGCCCTGTCCCCTGCTTGCCCCTCCATCCAGGACAGCCTCCTGCTTCCGCACCTCCTCTTCCCTCTCCTTTGGGTCTGTCACGAAGCCCAGGTGAATGACCAGGGGCTTTGAATGTGCTACAGGTTGGTGGAGTGCCAGCCTCTCACATATAGTGAAGACTACTCTTCACCCCCGTAGCCAAGATCTGACTTACCCCCCAAAGCCGCCGCCTGGCATCCTGCCGCTTTCTGGTTCATGAGCGGGACCTACCGAGTGACGCCTTATGCCTCAGCCCAATGGGTGGTAGGTGGGTGGTAGCACCCCTACACCTAAGTCAGTCGGTGTCTTTACCTGCTGTTCCTGTTGCTCTGTGCACCTCTGGGTTTGACATGTGTGGCTCGAGCCTGGGCAGTATCCCTAGGTGAGACTCATTGGTGCCAAGTGGTCCAGGTTATTGAGGGTCCCTGTTGACGATACCTCCACTTATTTAATGATGGGATGTGTGCAGACATTACTCCTGTGGCCATGAGGAGTCTGTGGCTGTGGGGTGGGAGCCATGACTAGAGAGGGGATTCAGGGGGGCCTAGGACTGTGGGGGTACTTAGCAGGCTGGGGACGCCATTTGGGAGTCCCAAGTGGTCTCAAAGGGAAAGGGCCCTGGGGGCCAGCAGGGGGCGCAAATGTTCCAGGCTGCTCTGGGAAGGGAGGGCTGGATGGCC